CTTTGATGATTTGAGGCAGCAGAGCTCATTTTCTACGAAGCCTAACTTTTGCTGAAAGTTTAAAATTTGAAGAATTCTGATATTGCGTCGTCTTTTAACTGTGACTTACGCAGAGTTGCTTTCCTTCCACTAATTCCAATCAACCAGCAAGCGTTCCGAACCCTCCACTGTGTTCACAAGCACTTGCCCTTGAATTCGCTTTTTCTAATCAATGTTTCATCCGCTCTTTGCTGTCCTTCATTCTCGCCATTTTTGCCTGCTTTTTCTGTCTCTCATACACATTACACCTTGTCCCAGTTTTTATTTACTTTGCACTTTTATTGGCATTTTAATGAAATTATTTCCTTTGATTTATGGGACATTGTTGACTTTTGAGCAATTAATAATCACCCGCCGAGCAGCTGGCGGTGTAGCCGAGAGCTTTATGTCGACAAAAAGCCCCGTGTGCCCAGTGACATACTTTCTGCCGAACATTTCGAAGATCTCTTGGGATTTTAACATGTGTGTGTGTCTGTGTGTTTGTGTGGATATTCACGCTTGTTAATTGAGACTGATTAAAATGAATTGCAGCGCAGAAGTTGTCAAAAGGATTTACCGATTGAGCACGGTGCAAATAATCGCTTCATAATTCATTGGCAACGCTGAGGTAGGCAAAATCGTTTTTGCAGGATTTGTTTTGTTTTAATTGGATTTAAATTTTGTTGCACATTAATTTAATAACTAATTGGTAAGCATGATTAAAGTATTACTAAATATCCTATTTATATTTCTGAAGCGTTTCGGTGTTTCTGAAACTGCAATTTATGCAGTTTATCCTAACGATTATATAAGTGAATGAAGCAGTTGGTACATAAGGTTATACGAGGTGTGTTTACAAAAAAACAAAAATTTTCGTTAAAAAAAATATTAATTCGTCTACATTTATGTTGTAGCCTTTAAAGTAGTCCCCAATCGATATAAATATAAAAAGACTCAAGCCGACGAAAGTCTCCGTAAAATCATCGCAGTCTCCGTATTCGAAGTAGTGCAGCTGTCAGAGTAGGCGCAAACAGAGTATCAAAGATAGTTTTTTTCAATACGGGATTCTGCTCCGAATACCGATCCTTTGTAAGGCACAACTAATCTGACATTAGTCTTAGCATTATTGATGACGATCTTTGCAAAAGATGTGATTACCGTCTCTTTTCGCGGCAGTTGGTTCGACGTAACCGGAACGAAACAATATTTTTAATCGGCCAAAGATATCTACAAACGGAACACATATCACAAAACATTAACCTGTCCTTATAAAGAACATGTTTGACCAACCGCTGCAGACGAGCAGTTTGATAGCCTATCAGGATAGGTCAAGCAAGTAGAAAAACATATCGGACATTTCAGTTGCTTTCAAAGCAAATATGGAGACCATAAAAGTATGCTCTTTATTTATCGTAAGTTTGTTCAAGTCCCTTGAGGGGTTAGGGGTAGTCAGGATTTTCAAAAAATCAAATTTTATTTTTGAATTTTCGTTAAGTGTATTATCTTGATTGCTTTTTGAATTATTCGACAAATAACAAAGCGCGCTCGGGCACTTCAAAGCGCTCGGGAGCAGGTAGATGAAACTTTAAATGCGTTTTTCTTACAACTATGTTTTTTGGACTGGTGACAACAGTAACTCGAAAACCGCTTAGTAGATTTTAATGAAATTTATACAGGTTTTACAATACATAATGAACTTGGGCCTGATCAAAGGATTTTTTTTTTCAAAAATTTCAATTTTTTAAGGCCAAGTTGATTTTTTTCCAATAATCTAGAAACAATTTCCTGAGGTCGTTTTGTTAGTTTTTGAAAAAAAAATAAAAATAAAACTTTGATCAGGCCCAGGGATATCTATTTATAAAACTAATTTTTTCCATCCGATTGATTTTAGATGAATCTTTAAGGACTTATGATTGTCACCGCAAGGACCTTTTTTGGGAACTGGGTTAACACAGACAGCTATAACTTTGATCGTCGATTGTCCTAGCAAGATTGAGTTTTTGCGCACTAGAATTCATTCCTAAGTTTAGAAGATATCAATCTGAAGATTTGCACAACTCTTTTTCTCCCGCAGAACCTGCTCATTTGTTAGAACCAGCTCATCGGACGACCATAGGATATAGCGGTCATGCATACTGATCGATCAAAATCAAGTCCTTGTATAAAAAACTTTTTTGTTTGACACTATATCTTCACGAAATATGGCATAGATTATTTTCCAAGGCAATTTTCCACTATGAAATATGCTGGTATTTACTAGGTTGGTCAAATATGGTATGATATTTTGAATTTTACTCCTTTAAAACTTGTAAAAAATCTCCAGAGATTTAAAAACAAAATATATTAATCAATATTTGATTCTATTATATCGTTTAAATACACAAGTGCAACAACAACCACAATTAACGCTTTATGCTTCAGCATCAGCTTTAACTTCAGTAAAAATGTAGAACTTTTCATCTTTTAAAAATACACTGTCATCACGGCATTGTTTCTAAATTCATCATCAATCACACTTTATTCGTCCTTAAAGTCTAAATTTAGCAGCCTTAACAAAGATAGCATACTGCGCGCACACATACATATACGAGTATGTAGGTTCATACATACTAATCCGCGGCAGCTATTAATAAATAAAACACAATAGCTATAGGAAACACCTGTAAATAAGGCAGACAGATCAAACGGCAGACAGGTGCCAGTTCAAGTACACGGCTCACACGCACACAGGCGCAAATATAAAAACATACTTACATACATATACACACATACTTATATGTATACACACAAAGAAAGTTGAGAACACTGGCGCTGCTTAGAATTGCTGTTGCGCCTTGCATTATTTTCAATTCACCTTCAACTTACGCAGCAAACACACACACACACATATATTTATTTGTATACCTATGTACATCTACATTTGTACATCTACATTTGTATACACACACACACACATACAATCTTATTTACGTGTGCGAACGCCTGAAATCATCTTTATATGAGCACTTCGTCGCATTAATGAACAAAAGGTCGGAGAACAAACGAAAAAAAATATGAGAATTTCAAAACAAAAGGTCATAAAAGAATAATAACAGTAAACAAAAAAAAAAAACGATATATAAGTAAAGAATTATATGCATATGAAAAATGTGAGATTTAAATAACAAAACACCGATCCTCCGCACTCCGCACCACCGGTCGTCGCTTGTTGCCTTAAGAACTTCGAACTCCATTCGTGAAAGGATTGTCACAGCAGCATCAGGTGTCTGCTGGCCACCACGCTTGTGGTGCGTATGCATGCATGTGTGTGTAAGTATTTATGTGAATAAGTATATTTATGGGTAACTGTTGAGTGCTTTTCGCAAAAAGTGCTCACGAACCCTACCCATGAATATGTAAATCTTCAAGCTATTAACTGTTGTTGTCCCCGCGTTGTGTTGTTGTGCGTAAGTAGGTGCCTTTTCTTACACAAAACGTACACTATTCAACACTTTTGCAGTTCGTGTGAGTTCGGGAGTTGTGTGTGAGTGTGAGTGCGTGTATTTGCATATGCAAATGAACTCGACTCAATTGGAGCTCAAATGCCACACAGCCTCCAAAGTTCTGAAGGAAAGTATACACGCACACATATAAAGAAGTACATATAAATATATGTGTGTTTGTGTTTGGTATTGACATTTCGCCGCAGCTTTAGCACTACTCATTCAATTATCTGAAATTATCTGTATTAACTTATTCAGCGTGAGGTAAAAGCTCATGCGAGTGGTTAGTCTGCAGAGCTTTAAGCTCAAAAACCTGCCTGTGAAAGCTTAGTGTGTGTGTCCATAATATGAGCTTAAATATTTTTAGGTAGGTGCAGACAGAGAATGTAAATAAATAGAGAAGGCTCAAATGTTAAAAGCTACTAATTTGAACTTTTCACAAGAGGGAACATCGAAAAATACAACTTCGAATCTTTTGAAATACACCACGCAATGCTCGAAACGGAGAAATGCTGCTTGTTGTAAAGCGAGACATGTTCACTAATTTGTTATATACATCTTGATCAAGGAGGAGAGTGGACAGGGAAAGATATTGGCAACAATTTACAAGCATGCCCCAGACAACTTTGCTAATGGATGGTTACAAAGGCACTAGGTTCAAATGTATAATAAAGTTTCCCAGATACATTGAACATTGCAAGCTCAAGAAGCATGTATTGAACATGAGTATAGCCTCTTGTAAAAGCTGCCGGTTTTGCGCCATGATTTTGGAAACTCTTGAGCTTCCTTTTCTAGTCTGTAAATGCAGGATCAAGGTTTTTGGAATTTTATATCCGCATAGGGATCACATCACCTCAATAGCGTTCAGCAGGATCCTGGAAATCATCAGAGTGCTGAACCTAAGTAATTCAGTGTAACAGAAGAGAGGACACAATAGACCTTAGGTATCAGTACCAGCCTCAATTTATTTGTATCTATCTATCTTGAAAATGTAAGATTCAACCCAAAACTTATTTTGGACCGACGACCCAACAGAATGCAGGTATCTGAACAGGGTATATTTAGTTTGTCAAGAAGTTTGTAACACTCAGAAAGAAACGTCGGAGACCCAATAAAGTATATCTCAGTTCAGTGTGATGAGCTGAATCGATTTAGCCATGTCCATCTATATATACGCGAACTAGTCTTTCAGTTTTTAAGATATCGACCTGAAAATTTTCACACGTTCTTTTCTCCCTAAAAATTATCTTTTTTGTCGGAACCACTGATATCGGATCATTATAGGATATAGCTGCCATACAAACTGCTCAATAAAACTCAGTTTTCTTTAATTTTTTCTAAAAGCGGTCATCAGACAATGGCAAACCTCCGAGGCTATTTCTGGCAAAAAGTTACAAACATATCGATTAACTTCAAGGCGTAAACCACAAAGAGGAGTGTATACGCAAATTATGTACAAAAAATAATTATATTTCTCCTAATAAATATAAAATTCTATAGTTTGGATATAATTTTGTTTTTATTTCTTGTGATTTTGTTTCAAATTCACACTTCACTCACATACCATATACTATACTGTACACTATACTTCTAAGTACTCACTTAAACTCACGTAGTAGACACTCGATCGGATCACTACCCGTTTCCTCCGACTCCGACTCAGACCTTTTAGCCTCTGTAGTTGGTTCTTCGGACTCTTCGCTTACATCCGAAGGCAGTTTGGAGGTGACAAGACTCAAAAGACTTAGAGTTGTGAACGACTTGATGAAGTTGATCGTACCTCGTCGCTTCCAAAATGGCTTCGCTTGATTCTTCCATTTGCGTAATTTATGCAAATCACAAAAATTAAACTGTGAATTCTTAATAATGTCTATGTAAGTTTTCTCATTCGAGATGGTTTGCAATAAGGCGAACATATATTTGACATATCGCTTGTTTTCCGGCTCTTCTCCGTCTTGGAATGTGTCACGTGCCTCTCTAAGCGCATTCTCGGCTAAATGATATTTGCTTGGAGTTTTCATATATATTTTTGCCACTTGCAGCAATGCTAAGCCAAGTAGTTTACCCAATTCCAAATGTCGCGCTAATAAAATTGCCAATCGCAGTTTGGCCATAGCATAGGATGTGTAGCCCAAACTTGGGAAAGATGCAGAAGTGGTGAAAATTATTTTTATATTATAGTTTTTCTAATATGATGAGTATGGGAAGATAGGGGGAAATGGCATTATATGGCTGCAAAACTCTCGACTGTTACAGATTAACGACTAGAAATATTTGCATTCAAAAGACTATCTGGAAGCATTAGTTTTCTGTTTTCTTCGTCTTCAAATCGACATATTAGTGGAATACGATATATTTCGGTTATCTGTCAGATGTCAGCTGTCAACTGTCTTATTATTTTTCAATGGATTTGAATTAGATAAGCTCTATAACACAAAACTGCCGGCTACTGAGGAAAAGTTTTTTTTATTTTCTCTGCTCTATTAGTCAATAAGATCCCTATTGGTAGTGGAAAATCATATAATGGATTCTGTAAGCTGTCAAAAGCTTTTTATTTACAATCATTATTAATCTCAGCAATTCAAAACTGTCAACTAAGTTCCGTATATTCTGCTCAGACAGAGAGTTTTGTGTTTGACTCGAATAACGACAGTAAAACAAAAAGGATAGGATCAACATAGAGAAAAAGCGTCTGTATTAAATATTCTAATAAATTCTAAATCGGCTATTAGCAGACGTAGTCTAGCAGTACAGGGAACTATCTTTAAATATGGAAACCAAAGATTAATTAAGTGGAAGCTCGAGAAGTTACTTTCAGAAGAAATGGTTGTGTTTCTTTCTTGGGAAAGCCTATGCAATATAAATATCGTTAACTAAAAATTTCGTGAATAAACTTCAAGACTCAAAATGGAAATATTAACATACTTTTCATAGCACACGCCTTTACAAATGTTTATCTCACATCTCACTTTCTGAAATTCACTGCTCTTCTCGCCCGTCAAATAACGTTCAGCGGATCTTAAATGTTTCATGGCCTCCTTGTAATTGCTGATTTCTATTAGCAGGCGCGCTTTGACCAATATAGCTTTCGCGACTAAAATTTTCAACTTCATTTCACCAACTGAAATTAGTGCCACAAACATATATTTATATATTTACACTTTTTTTCATTCACAATCTTAGGATAGCGCTCACCTTCGGCTATACATTTGATAGATCGGTCAGCTTGTTCAATGCCGAGTTTTGGGTTGCTATGTATAAATGCCTTTGCGGATTTGAAGAGAACGCTGGCAAAGGTTACACCAACAAATTCATGTAAATTTTGCTCATCAAACACGGGTGTAATGTTATCGGTACGCCAGTCTTGAGCGCGACTCAGCGATAACGCCTTCTCGAAGTATTTGATTTCTCTTTTAAAACTATGTGCTCCTAGAAGAGTTTGCAAGAAGAAGAGGAAAATCAGTTGAGAATAGTAAGCATATGACTTAGGATGAGTACTGGAATTACTGAATAGTCGAGGCTCATGAAAGACTTCTAAGTCTGATTAGTAAAGAGATTTTAAGTTTATTCTCCGGCACTCTCTTTCACGGATTTCTGCCCGTGCGCTCTAAACTGTAACTGACTCCCAGATATGCCATAATAGTACTACACCCCAACTATCTTTGCGTTTGAAATACATAAAGCGGAAGAAACATAAGTAGTGTAGGACATCGAAAGCTCTTTAAAGCCGCATGAGAGCAATAGTGAACTCCCTATATGACTATGATATCCTAGTTAAGTATGAATCTCCAACTATAGAATGACATCTGAAATTTTCAACAACCGGATATATTGTTTAGGGTTTCTTCATAAACTCCTTGTAGCTAATTCTAGGAACCTTCTTAAGAGTATATACAACTAACAACTATATGAGAACTAGCGATAAGAAAAGAAGCGTTCTTTTAACACCAAAATACCAGAGTTCGTTTCATCTTGGAAACATTTAAGTCATTTAAAACCATGAAACAATATATTTTCGAGAAGAACTTTCTGAAATTATCAAACCAAGTAACCCACAAGTGCTAAAGGAATTATTCTTCATAATTACGAGAAGAAAGTCCAAAAAGCCTTTAGGCCTACAGCTCCACGCCGGCGGTAGTTAGTAATGAAAATTTCGCGAATCAGAGTTGAACTCAAAGATGTAGATTATTCAAAAAATACAACAACAACAAATAAGACTTTCTAATAGCGTAACAAACTCACTGCCACTCATGTGAAACACGGCATAATGCGTATAAATCTTCGCACGCAATTCGCAGCATAGCACATCATTCAAGCCGAACGAATCGGCTATTTCGATGATTATTTCAAGGAAGCTCTTCGTAAACCAATGAAAAGAATCGGATAAATTTCTCGCTATATTCAAAGCCTGATAGATAAGTTCGTAGGTAGATTTTTTGCTGAGGCAAGTTTTCAACTTAGACACTACCTCGGCTGCCTTGCATATTTCATATAACTTCAGCAATGCCACCTTATTCACCCACATGCGTTTTTTGATGAATTTATCTTTGATGAGCGCATTCTCCTCACACACCAAGTACTCGAAGTACTTGGCGCAAGTCATGCAGCCCTCGAAGCACAGCTCGGATAAGAGAGCATGGTAAAGTTGGTGGTGACCGCGTTTCGCTTCAGTCAGCGTCATATGCTCGACATCAACGTCAGCCATGACCTTCTTCAAATAAGATCTTCCCACTGCCATTCTGGTAGCGCTTACTTTTTATTATGTTTTATTGGATGTTGTCGTGGAATCTGATTTTTATTTTGGTTTATTGTGCCAAAAATTGCCAAAAAGGTTGCAAAAACTATTTGGACGAAATTATTTTATATAAAAAATTATGTATAAAAAATATAAAATAAACCAAACTTTTTTAGTTTTGTCAGGTTTATTAAAAAAATTAAACTGAAAATGAAATATAAAGAAAAATCATTTTGAAGCAAATGTTAGGGAAAATATTTCGAAGCAGAAGGCAAGTGGAAATTTATTATTTGTTTCGATTTGTTACCGTTTAACAGAAAACCGAATACTTTAATTTATTTCAATTTAAATTCTGTTACCAAGTCTGTTTTTGTTTTCGCTTCTGTTGTAAATTATACTGCCTTTCTGTTTTTGTCAAATAACGCTGGCTCACAAATTTTACTAAGTCAACATTTCAAATACTTTATTAAAAATTACAACAAATATATTCTATTATAACTTTTCTGAAATCAATCTGTTGTTAATTTTGATGCTCAAACAGATTTGATAAAAACCAAAATAGTAATTATAAAAATTTCGAATTTTCATATAAATTAGTTACCAGTTTCTGTTTTAACAAAATTTATGTTTCTGTTTTCATTTCTTTTATGACTTTCTTATAAGCTAACTGCACATATGACATGAAAATATTCTTTGGAAAAAGCACAAATTGATTAAATAAATGTCTTTGTTAAAATATATCAAACCAATAAGTCAGTTTCTGCTTCTATTCTGTTCCGGGATTTTTTTAATTTCATATAGTATAATATAGATATGTATTATGTAGTTATACTCGTAAAAAGCTATACTAAATTTTCTGTTTCCATTTTTCTCATTTCTATTGTGGCATAATTTTATGTCAATATATTCATAAACAGACGCAAAACAATGTTTTCATTTACGTTCTCTGTTTAAACTAACACAAATTTAAGTTATAGTTTCTGTTTCCATTTTCTTTTACAGGTAATATTGAATAAGTATGCTATATATTTACATTCAATATGTAGACAAATAAAACAACTGTTCTGTAAAAATTTCTGTTTTCGTTTCATGCATTCAGTTTCTGTTTCCGTTATTCAGTTTACGTTTTTCTATGTCTGTTTCCGTTTCAGTTGCTAAATTCTTGCAGATTTCGCTCAAATATACTTAATTAACTTACAAAAATTATTTAACAATTTTCATTTTGCAGAATCAACAACAAAATCCTCGGAAGCCTCATGACTAAATCTTTTATATAATTTAGAGGTCAATTAAGTGTTCAGCCAAAGGCTAAAGAGTAGACTAATCCTCAGCTAAACTAACATTTTATCGGATGTTATATTGAGCTCTTGAATCATTAGAAAATAATCATACAACTAATTTTCGTGCGCAATATATAGAAACAACAAACCTATTAGACGCACGTGCTTGCAACTAACAATAGAACTCGCAACCTATAGCATAGAACTTGCAACATGTTGTATTTGCCGGCAGACTTCAATGAAAACCGGAACAAAAACAAAGCCAATGTGTGGATTATAAACAAAAATGCCGCACGTCACCGTTATGTCGTCAGTTGGGAAATATGAAAAGAATACAGCAACAACAAAACCACAATGAAGTAAAAAAAAAGCAGTAAGATAGCTCAAGTAGAGGAATTAGCACTGGAGTGAATAAATCACTAAGAGTATGTGCCTGCGTGTGTGTGTGCGTGTGTTGACACCACTACGGTCGCAATGAATTGTCCAGCAAATTAAGCGAGTTTTTCATGCGAATTTCCTTTTCAGTTGTACCGTTGACATCGGCACGCATGGAAGTAGCGAATTCGGTTAATACTCGTGGCGCGGAGTTATGAAATACCGTTATGCTGTAAACTAAGGGTTGAGGTCCGGTGGCGCTGAAGTTACTTGTGATCATGTGAAGTTGTTTCGAAAATGTGAGTTGGTGTATTTGGAATTACACATATGCTGAAAATAAAAGCATTGCAAAATACATAATAAGAAAGTGATTACTGTGTGAAATAAATAAATAAAATTAATTAGTTTCCATTAATTCAAGTTTATGAGTTTTAGGACCATTTTGAATTTTTTGTTTTTTAAGTAATAATCTTTATGCATGCTGAGGTATCATTAAAGCAACATTCCGTTTTGTGTTTCACAATTAGTGAAACATGTAATTATATTCAATTTCAATTATTTTTTCTAACTTAAATTAGATTAATTAACTTTTTATAGAATCAAAATTAGTGAAATAAAAATTCAGTTATATTTCATTAATTAATTTTTTTAATTTAAATTAAATTAATACATTTTTTTAAGAAGCGAAAATAAGTAAAATATTAAATCAAATAACATTTTTTTTTAATTTAATTAATTTTTATTTTAGTTACATAATTTTTCTTACGAACATTAGTAAAATATAAAGTTAAATTAAATTTCATTATTAATTTTTTTTAATTTCAAAATAGTTAATTAATTTTTTATGAGGCTAAAAATACTAATATATATAATTAAATTAAACTGTATTAATCATTTTTTTTTACTTTAAATTTAATCAATTAATTTTTTTATGAAGCCAAAAATTGTAAAATATAAAACTAAATTAATTTAATTAATTAATTTTTTTCAATTTAAATTTCATTAATTAATTCTTTTTTTAAATTAAATTAAATTAACTAACTTTTTGAATTGAATCAAAATTGTTTAAATATGAAATTAAATTAATTTTTTTTTATTATTTTTAATTATTAAATGTATATATGTATATTATATGTATTAAATTGCTCAAATAATAAAATTATTAAATTTTATTTCATTTCATTAAACATTAATTAAACAGTTATATTAAATAATTATAATTTTCAGTTTTTTTTTGATTTTAGTAAATTTATGAAACAAAAATCTCTAAATAAAAAAGACCTTCATATCCTCAGATTGCCTCTTAATAAATAAATATATATGTATATAACGAACCCCCGTGCTGTGCCCCTGAAGCTTCCAGATAACATATTAGAGTGTTCTTATGTACACATGCAGATACATAAATTTGAAAAAATATTATTTAAATCTAAACACTTCCATCAATAAACGGGTATGTGTAAAATCTAAATGTACAACAGCAACAAATTACTAGTAAAGTGACTTAATGAAAATCATAAGGCAATGCTTACATAAAAGGCTTCACTTACGAAAGTCGACCGATTTGTCACTTGTCTGCCATTGAAACGTCATGTGTGTATGTGCGTTCCATGCTCAACCAATAGTGAAGTGGCTATAAAAACAAGCATAAACATAAAAGGAAATAGTCAAATAAATAAAATCATGCCTGAATCGAAAATAAAAGTGTGTTGTGTGTACGTGTGCGTTTGATTTTGTAAATGAAATTACATAACAAATTAAATGAAAATGAAAAATCGAAAAAATATGGTCGACTCATCCGACGAGGATAGCATAGAGCTTTTGGATAAACTAAAGCATGTGCACGTCGAGTCTGAGGCAACTAGTCATGTGCTGTGCTACAAGGAGAAAAGCTGTTGGGAGTCTGTTGAATGGAAATCGGCGCTGAATCACATCGGCTTATTCATATCGCTCTCGATCTACGTTGGCGTAGGTGGCCTGGTGAGTGGATATACATATATGTATACATTTTTTGTAAAAATTCCTCAGCGATTTTATTGATGCGCTAAATAGTTGGAAAATATTTTATTTAAAATTACCAAAAAATAATAATTATTAACATTTATTAATTGGAAACTAATTTTTATAATTAATTATAGTTAGCAATTTTTTTTTATTAATAAAAGCATTAATTTCTGTAAAAAGAAATTATTTAATAAATTAATTAAAATACAGTTATTATTGCTTTAATAAATTAATTATTACTAAATAAATAAAATATTGCTTTAGTTTCAATTTGTAATTAAATCATTATTATAAATTAAAATTGTAATTCAGTTACAAAAATTATTTGATTAATTAATTAAAGTACAATTATGAGCTTTTAATTAATTATTATTAACAATTATTAAATTATTCAATTTACTTAAAAAAAAATGTAATCAAAAACTTAATTACGAATTAAATTAATTATCAAATTAAATTTGCTTTGAAAGTTTTTTTCTCTTTTTCTAACTTCTTTTTTTATTAATAAAAGACTTTTACTAAATTTTAAAATTTTATTATACAAAAAAAACCAAGCAGAAATCTTAAATTAAGCTGCTTTTGAGATTTTCTAAATTTACAATCAAAATATATAAATATTTTTACATAAATACCACAATTGGACCAGTGTAGTCCAGTGCGTCGACAATTTCATACAAACGTCTATAGCAAAACAACTAAAGTATTTCAATCAACATGAAATTTAAATAATTCTTTTTTTCATTTTCCTTTTGGTTTTTTTTTTGTTGTTTTCGTTGCTGTTCGAGTATTTGTGTTTGTTTTCAAGTAGCCATAAAACATTTAAGTGCTGCTAATACAGAAAGTTCAGCGTGGGATTAACAAAAGTGGCTAATTTAGAAATGGAAAAAATAAATATGAAAACAACAATAACAATTTTTCGAAAGCGTACAAGCAGAAGATGCTAAAAGAGTTTTAAAATTTGCTTGATGAAGGAAAATCTTTGCTTATTCATCATCATCAATCAATGAGATAAACCGATGAATATATAGAAAAGTTGCAAATAAGTTTTCCTATGCTGGTATCATATATGTAGATATGTATATAAATATGAGGAATAAAGAGTAATCGCCTTGTAAATGGCCGCTGTCACTATTCATGAATATATTATTTATTGGCGAAGACAATATTTATCTCTATTGACTTGTAAAGCAATGATAATTCTTTCATTAACTTTAGAACTTAATTAGCCACCAACAACATAAGAACAACAAAAATTGTTTTTGTAGAAAAACTTGTGAAAGCAAGGTAAGTAGTAGTAACTAAACTTTTTTTTTGGGACTTTTTCTTTTTGAAAAACATATTTACAAACCATTAAGAACTTACAAAATATGACTTAGTGACCTTTTTAAGTCATTCATGAAACATGTTTTTTTTGGAAAAGTAATTTTCAAACCACTTGGAACTATAAAATACGACTTCATGATTTTTTAAAATTATAGTATTTAAGCAAATTTGAATTTTGAAGCCGTGAAATAGATAAAAATATCTTTATCTAGATTTTGATCG